GCCACTGTGTGTGACGCTGTGTTTCGTTGTGAAAGCGAAACTACTTTGTTTGGTCTTCCAAAAGAGGACACGACTAGAAATCAGTGGTTTAGTTGTATTTACAACACTGTTCCAGAAAAGTTCGACCCAAATATTCCGATGTGTCCAGCGCATTTTATGGAGGACTGTTTCCTGATCCTGGTAGAGTAGACTACAATGCCGGCTGTTCTGACTCACAGACTGTAAGTACGTTTTTTATATTTAAAGAATTTGCCACTGACGATTCAAACGTGAGTTTTGAGCAGTGTAGAGTAGCTTGTTGCTTGTCATTTCTCCGATCATGTTTTTGTCTCGTCGCCCCGGCCGGGACAAGGCATCACAATATGGTAAGGGGCGTAACATTTCCGTCACACGTTTGAGGTATTCGGCCAATCACAAAGCACTGGATAGCTGGCCAATCAGAGCACACCTCACTTTTCAGACCGATGAGCTTTGTAAAAATCTACGCGTTTCAGAAAGGTGGGGCATAGAGGAGAAACAATAATGTACAGTATGTGGAAAATAATGTTTTTTTTTTAACCTTAAACCGCATAAACACATTTCATTACACCAAATACACAAAATAATGTTCTTTTTAGCAACATCATATGACCCCTTTAATGCCTTCTGCATAGCCATATTTTAGATCCCTTAATCCCCATACCTAAACTTAACAACTATCTTACTAACTATTAATAAGCAGCAAACTAGGAGTTTATTGAGGCAAAAGTTGTAGTTAAACGTTAGTTAATAGCGGGGTATTCCCACCCCAAATGCATGCCGTTGGTTGAGCCAGAAGGTAATATGACGGAAAAAATGCTGATGATGTATTGACTTTTTTTAGTGCAAATGCTGTCTTGCTGCCAAATGCAATTTACACTCTACCCATCACTGTCTGGTTGAGTCAGACAAAATTGACCTGACCGATCTGAGCTTCAGTCTGCCAGATGAATCTCCAGTCACATTCATCTTGTTTTCATCACAAATCATTTTGGACAGCGGTTCTTAATCCTGGTCCTCATGACCACTCGCTCTGCACATTTTGAATGTTTCTCTTATTGCTTTAGAAGTTTGTTCCGTTAAACGTAAGTGCCAGTGCCCTGCGAGGTGGACATCACAGGATATTCTGGCATGATTCCAGTTCAAAAGGAGCATATATGTTCCATTCAAAGGGCATTAAAGTGCGCGAGATGTTACTACAATGCAAATCTCATGATTACGGTTAAATAACACTTCACACTTCAGTAGAAAGTTTTGTCTGTGTGTGAAGACACTGCGGGCAGTGGTGTAGTGCAAATCTGTGTTCTTAAATGAAGTAAACTTCGGCCGATTTGCTGTGTGCAGGGAATAGTGAACACTGTGTAGGGACCATGTCAATTGGAACACAGTTCATTCATGGAGCTCTCTTCTTACAAGCTGGTGATCTGAATCAGGTGTGAGAGACATGCAAAATATGCAGAGCGGGGGTCTTGAGGACCAAGATTAAGAACCGCTGATTTTGGAGATGCATTTATTTTTATTAAAAATGAAGAAAAAGTGGAAGTAAAATACTAAATAGATATTGCACAGGCCTATAATTGGTATAAACCTCACAGGCTGGCAACATGTTTGGCTCATGAAAATGTTTTTATAATTGCATACTGTTCTATATTGTATGTACAGTATTTGCCACTATTTGCAAGTATAAATAGCATTTACACTAAATAAATAGCACAAATTAAGTAGCATTTAACACAATTTGCACTTAAAGGCAAATAGCATTAGCCAAATAAATATTTTATAAATATATATTTTATTTATAGTTTCCTTTTCTTCGTACTACATCTACAGACTTATAAATTGTTTACTTGTCACATTTAACTGGAAAATAAGTTTCACAACATTAATAAAACTGCACACGTCCCCCTTAAAATATGCCACTTACACAATGTCATTGAGCTCTAGAATGGTGTCCGGAGGAGGGTTTATCAGCACATATGACAACGTGTTCTGATTATCATTCATTTCATCTGCAAGAGAAAACAAAACACAGTATCACTATCATACTTAACCCATATCAGTTCTTAATAATCCAAAACATTTATTCTGAGAAATTATCCGTAACATTTATCTCTGTTCCTACTACAAATAAAACTATGCTGTTGAGTCAGAATAGCCAAAAAATTAAAAAAAATAGCAAAATTGGACAATATATTAAATCAAAATGTCCAAAAAATATGGAAGGCAGTTGTTGTGTAACCCCACTGTGTTTGGATTTTGTTGGCTGGGTTTCTGAGGCTTTGTTGTATTTTACCTGCTTGTAAATGACTGAGAAGTGTGAACCTTTGCAGGTCTGGAAATAAGGGACTCAAGACTGGGACAAAGTGCCTCTGCTTCTCCAAACCCACCTGTTTGAGCCACTTATAGCGCCAGGCCAGTTAAAAGAGAGAGAAGGGCTAACCGTTACTGACAGGGCATGGCTGCATTTACGGAACGCCCATGCAACCGCAAGTGATCCCCATGCGCGGACGCATGCAGACAGGGACCGCATCCACCCACGCATTCAGTCTCTCAATCACTTAATCAATCCATCCATCCATCCGTCTACTGCATCATAACCACAGCTGACCCAATGAAAGTTGCTCGTTGCCATGCCAACACACAGCCCAAAGTCAGCAAACAGTAAGACCGACACACACAGATATAAGCATGCTTAGAGGATCTGTCAGGCCCACCAAGCCAAGGCTCGACCAATCAGAGTGAAGCAAAAAACATTAGTAGTGTGGGATTGGGAGGAGTCAATAGCCAAAGCTAATTAACCAATTACACCAATGGGAAACCCAAATACTTCTCCCAGTATCACCCCGTTAAAAAGAATGAAAAAAAGCTGTAAATAAGTACGAGCAGACTAACAAGTGTACACCTAAATACCTGCTCTAGATGGACCCTTCCGACAAAGACTGAATGCTTTCTACTCCACTCTGTCCAAACATCCTGGAATCAAAAGCCCTCACTCATCATCTCTTATATCAATGCTCAGATGCCAGTGAGTACCTGCAGTACCCTCTGTCATGTAAGTACCCTCTTCAGTTCGTACCAGAGGAGAAAAAGACAACTACATCACTGATTTAACTATAAAATCAGACTTCATTATTTCAGAAACAGGTCAGCACTGCTGTCAAATCACATTGTTGTTCAGGAGCATGTTTTTGCAAACATAATGATACAAAATCTTAGGTGTGATACTGCTGATTAGGTCAGAAAACATTGAATAAATAATAATATTAAATAAATACTGCATTCACATAAAAAAAATACGTGGCTATGTAAAAAATACAAAGTCTGCATATACTGTATATTACACCCACACATAGTCTATGCAGAATAAACTTGTAGACTTTATCCACTGTATTTAATTCATTAAAATGCTATACATTTTCTTTACCTTTTGCATTTATGTACAGTATAAGTATGGAATAAGGTACAGTCATCACAGCGAAACAAATCAAAAAGTTTTTTATTTTGCAGTAACGACTGGCTGACTGTGCATTATAACGATTATTACACAGCTATTTAAAAAATGGATGTGAAATATGAATTTGAGCTGAAATGACTCAAATGGGACAACATTAAGTTAAATAGCTTAGTGGTCATTATATAAGACTGGTGAATGCTGCAGTTGACCAATCAGAATCAAGTATTCCAGTGAGCTGTGTAATAATGAATTATACATAAATGCAAATTTGATTATAATGATATCAGTTGGCTTTACAGATAAGCACAGAGGCTGTTCAACCACGTTTCTAAATCATACTCTTTTTGTCCAGCGTCATTATAATGTCAATGGCCAGCAGTTTCCTGCAGTCTGTTTTTAATAAGATAAGAGGAAGGCTCATTGAACATAGACTAGCCAAATGATGATGTCATCTGGAAAAAATGTTGTAAAAAGAGAACTGCAGGCAGTAGACTTTAGACATTTTCATGTAGATTTAGGAAGAAACTGTCAGCCAGGAAAAATGTAAGAATCAGGTACATTTAAAAAAAAAAAAAACTGAATTGCACAGAATTTTCAATGTGAAAGAAAATGAATTAATAAAGGCCTGTTAAAGGAATAGTTTCCCACAACTGAACATTTCCTGAAAATGTACTCACCCTCAGGCCATCCAAGATGTAGATGAGTTTGTTTCTTCATCAGAACAGATTTGGAGAAATCCAACATTAAGACGTTTTATACCAGTGCTTCTGGCCAACATATCAGTCCATAATCCATAATAACAGTGAAAAAGTCCAACCTCTGTTGTCCTCTTACAACAAAATCCACTGACATATTTGTTTAGAACTATTTTGGACTGTTTGCGTTTTGTAAACAGTGCTTGATCTGTGCATATTTTACTCCCGATTCAGACAAGATGGCTTTTTCACTGGAGAAAGCAATATTACGAATAGAGGACTCATATTTTAGCAGGAAGCTTTTCACTTCACAAGACATTAATTGATGAACTGGAATGCTTGTAGATTATTGTGATGTTTTTATCAGCTATTTGGACTCTCATTCTGACGGCACCCATTCACTGCATAATTCACTGCTGAGCAAATGATGGTCTGAGGGTGAGTACATTTTCAGCAAATTTTCATGTTTTGGGTGAACTATTCCTTTAAAGTGCCACGAAGCGTTTTCCTTTGGCTTTCAGTGCTTATCCTATTAAACACTACTGATGCCATTCTAATTAATGTCACTGGACAAACTGAGCAGTGGAGTTTCCAATTGACATCCGTCTCCAGAACATCAGGTTTCATTCAGCTCATTACTCCAGTGACTTGATCCACTGGAACAATCCTATACTACAGGAACAGCGATGTTGGGTGGATTTACCTTGCAAATATCCTAGATTTACTCGGTTCATCACATCACTTGCGGTTAAATTAGCTACGTCCTCTACAGCGTGTGGAGAAAAGGCCAAAGTGGAAAGAGATAAGAAAGAAAAGGTCAAGCAAGCAGCAGAGAAAGCAGCACTTTTTAAAGAGAAAGAACAGGAAAAATTCACCATGCAAAAAACACATTCTCAAAATATTTTACACTATTATGACTGCTAAGGTTTATATTTGTTATAGTTATTTAAAATGTCATCAATAACAGAACACTATGGTTTACATCTCATTTTTAAAGATAAAGTGCATAAATGTCTGTGTAAGATGAGACAGAGTAGTTTTAACATGAAAAAATACACTTCATCTTCAGTTTCCAACAGTATTTCTCAGGGTTGACTAGTGAAAAATAGAGAATGAATTTTTGCAACATGGAGGATAGAAAGTGAGTAAAGTTTCTAGAAAAGTGAATAGAATAAACAACAATGCAGGGCACACAAAACAGAAGTCAATGGTGATCTATCCTTCAACAATAAAAGATATTCATTATGACAGTATAAACCCACCTGTTATAATACAGGAAATGTTTCTTCTTAAGAACATCTACGATATACAGTGAAGTCCAAAGGTTTGAGTTAAGAGTATTAAGAAATCTTTGTTTATCTCTGGAAATACGTTTTGGGATATTGGTAAATAAAAAAAAATCAATAAAATAAAACAAATAAATAGTATGATGCAAAATTAAGATAAAATTTAAGATTCTACATGTTTTCTGGGTCACTAATCATATTAAGTAAATACATTTGTGATTATGTGACAGAAGGTCAGATGTTCTTGCTTCCTCTGGAGTTCAAGATGTTGTTTGTATCATCTCAAATCATACTGGAGAACATGATCATTAGCTTTGACCCAAACTTGTGGAGTTCATGCAGCTTGAACAATTTAAGATAATCATTAAAAATGTAATTCTACTCAAAACAGTACGTCAGTTACATCATTTGGATGTAAAGATGGTTTAGAATTAGAAAATAATGCATAATATATGTACCTTTGGACCCCAGTGTAGATCTAAAAAAACAAATATTTGTTCTAAAGGAACATTAAAAATATTCCCTTATGGAATGTAGCATGTAATCTATATTTTGTTTCTCTTTAATCTGCCGTTTTCCTGTGACCCCTGATAAAGGACGTTTCAGATGAATAATTACTGATGCAGGGGACACAAGGGGACGCTATTATATGATTTACAAAGAGAAACACTGTGAAAACTGATCTCCAGAATAGTACATTTATAATAACGCGCTATAGCAAGAAGACATCAATGTAAGGGGTTCTGTACCTTCAGTATTTTCGTAGGTACAAATAGAAATACTCACTTTCCCTTCTCAAACTCACCATATCCCACAGTGGGCAGCCCTAAGTGCTTCATGCGGTTCTTCACCAACTCTGACAGCTCCTGTCTCTCTGAGCGCCGGTACAGGTTCAGGCGCTGTTGATTGATGCGTTCAGATCGACTGGGCATTTTGTTGTTTTTTCTGCTCAGCCGTCTCGCCCACTGCATGCTCTTCTTCCGCAGAAGTGGGTGCTCTGATTGGTCGCTCCCTGTGGAGTTTCTGTGGGCGGTTTTCTCTTTCCAGGATTCCCTGCGGGCCCGCGGGTCCTCACAGTCCTCCACAGACACCTGAGACTGCTCAGCATGGAAACAGGTTGTCAATAGGTTAACAGTGTTTAAGTGGCACACCAATATTTTCATTGTCTGCTGGCTGAAGTCATTATGTTTTACCTTTTTTTTGTACCAGTTTTTTTAGCAGCTGAACAACTTTACTCTGGAAAGAAGCACTAAGTAATTACACATATAATTTTAGCTGACTCTAATTCATCTACTGACAGGATGCCATTAGCCTTGTCTACGTTTAAGGCCGTTCTGAAGTTTGGGGTCAGTAAGATTATTTTTTTTAAAGAAATGAATACTTTTATTCAGCAAGGATGCATTCAATTGATCTAAAGTGACAGTACAGATATTTATAATGTTAGAAAAGATTTCTGAAGACTGGAGTAATGACTGCTGAAAATTCAGCTTTACATCTCGGGAATAAATTACATTTAAAAATATATATTAATAAATATATTTCATAGTATTACCATTTTTACTAAATGCAGCCTCTGCAAGCATAACATTTTAATAAAATGTATTTTAAATGTTGGATTTAGCTGTGTTTATATTTTAGAAAGGAATCCTCATATTTGGGGACCCTTAGCAGCAGAACATTATTGAGTGAAAAAATGACTTAATTCCCCTTTATATAAACCAACTTACATTACTAAATAATTTAAACAACTGTTATTTATTAACATAGCATTTATTAACAAATTATACAGATCAGCAGCACATAATGAGTGAGTGAAAGTAATGGATGTTGGACAGAAAACAAACAGCTGAAACAGCACCATTCCATTAACATATGACAATGTAGTTGTGAAATGGGGAGAAGTATTCTTACCTGCTTGCAAACCTCCTTAAACTGGAACAAGCAATAGATGTGAATGAGATGAGAAATGATTAGCACAAGGATTGCATAAGCTTCAAGTCACAACACCGCTAATAAGGCAGCCAGCAAAGCCATGATATAGACCAAAATAAAGCTGTAAATCTTGAACACTGCACAAGATTAAGTAAAGGCACAGTTACAGATCGTATCTGCTGTGCAAGCATCTGGAGCTGGATGAACCGTTTAAAATGAGTGTATTCAGCCGTGTCTGAACTCTCTGATCTCTTCCTCTTTATCTCATCTTACCTCAGAGGAGGAGAACATGTGAGATTCAGTGCGGTATATCCCAATGGGAATTTCTGCGCTGGATGAACACAGCTTCTGGAATAGTCTTCCGTACGTCCGGATCCATAAGTCCTCTTCCGTTACCTTCATCTGTTTCAAAAGTGAAGGGTGAAGATCATTAAGAAACATTCAGGCCATATTTTACTAAACTAAACTAAACTAAATTCAAAAACTAGTAATGAGTAATTATGTATAGATTTTTATATCTATTAAAGTGCCCTTATTATGGATTTTTGAAAATTACCTTTCATGCAGTGTGTAACAGCTCTAGGTGAATGAAAACATCCTGCAAAGTTTTAAATCTGAAAGTGCACCATGTATAAAGTTATTGTCTCTCAAAAGAAAGAGTCGACTTTGAATCATTGAAACGAATCATTTTTAAAACGAATCCCAAGCCGTTTCATGGTGACGTCAACATGAAACATTAGCATATTGCCTGCCCACTTGTTGCGCGCGCAGACCTGGGAAAGCTTGAACTGGAAACTTTTACCCCACGGAACGCGATTTTTACCGGGGAACCTCCCTCGAAACGCGATTGGGCTAGTTTTGAATAGCAATTGGGTGGGTTTTGTTGTGAAAACCTGGCAACCCTGCGGATTCCTGTGGATAGCATCAGGTAGAGAAGAGGCTATGAGGGTAAATCCGTTTTTTTTTTTTTCTGCCAAAGGACGAGGCTGTGAAGAATCAATGGTTAAAGTTATTTTTCACAGCAATGCCACAGCAGTATAGCCCCAACCTTGTGTTGTGTCCCTGTCATTACTGAAGACTGCTGCAGCAACCCACAGACTCTCTATGTGTGACGGGGCTTCCCCCGTGGGATATATACCTGTTCACATTTACAGCTCTGCATGTTTGCTGCGTAAAACCATCAGTCGATTTTCGTGTTGGTCTGAATAAAAATGCAAATTCATTCTTTGCCACTAGGTGCCGCTTTTGGAGCAGTAAAATAGCTGTTTCCCTGGTAACGGCTGTACACAAAGCAGCACTGTGCTCACAAACACTGCTTTATCAGGAATTACAGGCAAGATTAAGAGTGTATTCACACCAGGAAAGTCTGCTAGTTCACTTGCTTTGGTCCGGACCAAATACAATGTCGATTTTTTTTGTTTGGTGCGGTTCGCTTTCACACTGCCCTTTTTTGCAAGTGAACCAGAAATTGTAAACAAAACCACACGTGTGCTAAGGTCATCCATTCATTGGACAGAAATTCTCAAGCAGTGAAAAACAGGAAGTGCAAAAACAGGCTAATCATGGAGATCTTTCGTAGTGCAAATTTTATTTTTTTACTGATTTGGTGTTATCAGATACTAATGCAATATGAGGAAACTTATGAGCATCATATGAGACAATGTCATACGATGTTGTAATTACGACTTGCCGAAAATAAAATATATAGTTATAAAATAGGCTACTTAAAGCATATCACAATGTTTGTTTAACATTTAACCTATATAAATGTGCGCTATTAGGTGCATATCCAATCGTTTGTGCAGAGAGTGGAAGCTGAAGCGCACTTCAGGACATCAGTGCAAACAAATTAAATACGCCGTCATTTTTGCTCATAAAGGTAAGAATAATACATCGTTCAGAACTGTAAAGGGTCTATTTTTATTTGTGTGCACTCAAGAAAACGTTGTGCTTTTGTAAAATAAAGAAAACAAATAGGAT